GAGCCCAGCAGGTCGAGGCTGTGGTAGCCGGGAGCAGCCACTGCACTCCAGTCTGGGCGACAGAGTGAGACTCCAACTAAAAAAAGAAGGCAGGTAATTTAAACTTCAACAAAATGTTAACCAAATACACATTTGTTTCTGGTAACTTTGCATTCATTTAACATGTTTAGGATTTTCTGTTGTGGTTAAAGAAGTCTTTTCAAAGTATGGTTACTCATAAAAATGAAAAGGTTTACTGTTATTATTTGAAGATAAATGTTGTTGTCATATATTTTAGTTCAAGTTGACATCACTAGGCTCAAAATGTAGTATTTTGCAGACTGATTATAATCAGCCTTATAGGTTTCTCTTCTCCCTTAATCATAAATATCTTTATCTTTCTCAGGAAAAAGAAACATGAGGCAACAAGGGTACAGGAATATTTATACGTTAAGGCTTTGTCTTGTTTGTCTTTATTTATCCTTGAAATAAATCTCTGTGATAGGAATTACTGTAACTTTTCTCATTAATCTTGTAGTGTTTGGGAAGTTTATGTGTGTGTCTCCTCTTTCAGAAGCATGGTTGGTTACATACATAATCACTGGGGGTTCAGATGGGAAACATAATTTTATTTTTGTGGGAAAAATAGGTAGAAAATGATATGCAATTACTAATTGTATGCAATTGCTATTTATTTAGGTAGTTAGAGAATGAAACTTTCCTCTCAGGCACTTAAATTGTGAAATGGGTAAAAGTTGTGAAATATGAATACGGAGAAACGAAACCATGAAAAGGAATTTGCTTTTAGTTATCCAGATTTTTGAAAAAGTGAAAACTGACAATTGAGGAAGTGATCAAATTGGACCTGCTACATTGTTTCCACAAACACACCAAAACTATTAAAATGAAGTATTAATTTTCTTTAATATTTAACTTGAACACTGAATACTAATTTGAATGGTAATCTTCAGTTTTTCTTAAAAACACTGTTTATTATTGGTATGCACTTTTACTTGACTTGTTTATTTTACTTTAGTAAAAGGGGTTTTGATGGTGATATTAGGTAAATATGTGTGGAATATATGTGATGGAGTTGAGTTTACTGACACAATGTACATAGAATAAAATTCTCTTTATATTTTATTTATTTATTTATTTTTTATTTTATTTTTTTGAGTTGGAGTCTCACTTCATTGCCCAGGCTGGAGTGCAGTGGCAGGCTCCTGGCCACCGCAGACTCAACCTGCTGGGTTCAAGTGATCCTTCTGCCTCAGTCTTCCAAGGAGCTGGAACTACAGGCATGCATTACCATGCCCAGCTAATTTTTGGATTTATTGTAGAGATGAGGTCTCACCATGATGCCCAGGCTGGTCTCAAACCCATGGGCTCGGGCAGTCCTCTCACCTCGGCCTCCCAAAGTGCTGGGATTATAGGCTTGAGCCACCACACCCAGTCTTCTCTTTATATTTTAAAGGCAAATGGATGTGTGTGTATATATATATTTATATATTTATTCATGGACAATATTATTCTAAAATTAACATGTTAAGAAAGGGTGCTGGGCGCAGTGGCTCCACGATGGTGCGGCGTCTCACAGAATGAGACTCTGACTCAAAAAAAAAATGAGCTGCTTGGAAGGCTGAGGTGGAAGGATCGCTGGAGCCCAGCAGGTTGACATTGGGGTGGCTGTGAGTGTGCTACTGCACTCCAGCCTGGGCGATGGAGTGAGACTCCAACTCAAATAATGATAATAATAATAATAGTGGAAGAATACTGAAATTGTTCTTAAGCAAATAAAGAATTTTTAAAACTATGGAGCAACAAAGAAAGTGAAATTGCATTTAATATGTAGAACATGTTGAACAATAAAAGTATTAAATGAAACCTTTAAAATCATATTCATTAAGTTTTTCCTATATGACTTTAAAAAAGTGAAATAAATTTAAAATTTTACAAGTTGTGTTTGTAAAGCTTAAGCATGAGTTATTTTACTATTGTAAAATATTTTGGAGTTGGTACACTTACTAATATAGTGCTTCCCTGAGTTTATTTTCATTGCACTGGCAAGGAAAAAAATCAAGAAAATTCTTCAACAAACTTTATATTCTGCTAATGTTCATTTTCTTGTAACGAAAACAACTGTGCAGACTTTGCATTAATTTAATTTTAATAAGTATTCATGGATTATTTGATATATAATGTAATTGTAACTCTGAGAATATTGTGAAAGACCTGGAAAAAAATTATAGGAACTGAAAGTAGCATGATCACTGTGTGTGTTAAATAGGTAATAAAATTTATGAAATCTATTTTCAGTAGATGACTTTCACTTTTTAAAAAAAAGTAAAACTTCACTAAAAAGGCAATTTACTTATTTTCCCTATGATACATGGCAGCTTCAAATTAAAACAAAAAAAGGTAAAGGAGTTTTCCACTTCACTTCTTTGGGTAGATTAACCCTTTTCACTCAAATAGGTTGTTGAATCACCTTTGAGGGTAACTAATGGTTGGTACCCAGGCATCTCAAAGAACAAGAATTCTATATTTTGTTGTTTTTTTTTTTTGAGTTGGAGTCTCACTCTGTCGCCCAGACTGGAGTGCAGTGGCATGCTCCTGGCCACTGCAGCCTCGGCCTGCTGGGCTCTGGCGATCCTTCTGCCTCAGCCTTCCAAGTAGCTGGAACTACAGGCGTGCACTACCACGCCCGGCTAATTTTTTTATTTATTGTAGAGATGAAGTCTCGCCAAGTTGCCTGGGCGGGTCGTGAACCTGCAGGCTCAGGCAGTCCACTCACCTCAGCCTCCCAAAGCGTGGGATTACAGGCTGAGCCACTGAACCCGGCTTATATTTCCTTATCCTTGCCTAATTTCTATTAATTCATGAACAGTATTCTTCCCTAAAGGGGGAAAGTGTCTCCTTATTATTCTCCTTTGTTAATAATAGTCATTGTATTGAGTTGACTTCTTTTTAGGATTTTTAAAAACATGTTTCCTCCAACTTCTCTTGTCTTAAATATGGTTTTTTGTATATTAGGTGCTCTGCCCTAATGATTAATTATTTTTTCTTTATACAAATAAGTTGACATAATCATACCTCTTTTTCAATTTAAACTTGTATGTGTGTATATGTATCTGTGTAGTAGAAAAATACCATCTAAAATACCCTGCCCGACTCATTAGCCTATTTTTTAATCTTAATAACTATTTCATTGAAATTTGGATTAGAGTATATGCCATTTTAAAACCAGAAAAGGCCAGGCAGGGTAGCTCATGCCTATAATCCCAGCACTTTGGGAGGTCAAGGTGAGAAGATTGCCTGAGCCCAACCTGGGCAACTTGACGAGACTTCATCTCTACATAAATCAAAACATTAGCCAGGCATGGTGGCACATGTCTGTAGTTCCAGCTACTTGGAAGGCTGAAGTTGAAGGATCGCCTGAGCCCAGCAGGTTGAAGCTGTGGTGGCCATGAGCGTGCCACTGTCCTCCAGCCTGGGCAACAGAGTGAGACTGACTCAGATAAATAAATGGATGGATGGATGGATGGATGGATGGATGGATGGATAGATGGATAGAGACTCCAACATAGATAGATAGATAGATAGATAGATAGATAGATAGATAGATAGATAGATAAAAAAGAAAACCAGAAAAGTATTAGAGTCAATTGTCAGATTAAGACTTTTAGGAGATATATAGATAGATGATAGATAGACAGATAGATAGATACTGTATATATACTTATGTCATGAACGTGCTGAAAGAAGAAAATGTGGAAATAAATTAGCCAAATGAATGTTTCAGTGTGGGTGGAGGTAGATAGTGAAATAAAAAGCACTGATTTTAGTCTTTAGACATGATTGAATCATGTCTATCTTTGTCCCTAAACGAAATTATGATCTCAAGCACTTAACCTTTCCAGTCTGCAGTTTGGTGTATAATAATATCTGTTCTACCCACACCCCAGGATTGTTGAAAGAATCAAATAAAATAATGGTGAAAACATTTTCTAAAACTAGCATAAGCTATGTAAATTAAGGATGCTTGCTTTTGGAGTAATGAATGATCAGTTAGTGCCACATAACTGTTTTTCATCTTCCGCCTAGTGATCAGCAGATATGTCTTCATGGGCCACTAATTATTCATCTTGCTCATTAAATTAATTAATGCCTTTGGATTATGAGATGTTTAATATAATAAACTTTTTAAAGAACTGTCTTTCCTTCTCTTCCTACTTTTCATTAATGTTTTAAAATCTTTTTATAGGACTTTGCCTCCCGGGCTAAACTGGCAGTTCAAAACCTAGTCCAGAAGGTTGGATTTTTTGGAATTTTGGCCTGTGCTTCAGTAAGTTAATTGTATTTAAATGAGAAATTTCACTAAGTGATAGGGTTATATTTTGATCCAGTTTGTTTTAAAGATATATTCCTGAATGAACAAAAATACTGTCACATTTATTGACTATGTAATTTTGTGAATGAATCGTTTACCTTATTAAATGAGCTGTTTTCTGTTGAATGGGTTCATATCTTGTTTATTAACTTTTAAGTACTTCATCACATAATGATAACTTGACACTTGAATGTCTTGATTTAATAAAACAGTAAGATACAGGGTCGGGCACAATGGCTCATACCTGTTTTCCCAGCACTTTGGGAGGCTGTGGCAAGAGGATTGCCTGAGCTCAAGGGTTCAAGACCAGTCTGGGCAACTTGGCAAGACCTCATCTCTACAATAAATAAAAAAATTATTCAAGCATGGTGATGTACGCCTGTAGTTCTAGCTACTTGGAAGGCTGAGGTGGAAGCATCGCCTGAGCCCAGCAGGTCGAAGATGCATGGCTGTGAGCATACCACTGCTCTCTAGCCTGGGTGACAGAGTGAAACTCCGACTCCAAAAAAAAGTTTCAAGATTAGGTACAATAAAGAATTCATAGGTCAGGTGCAGTGGTTTACACCTGTAATCCCAACACTTTGAGAGGCTGAGGCTGGAGAATTGCTTGAGCCCAGGAGTTTAAGACCAGCCAGGGCAACATAGTGAGACCTCATCTCTACAAAGCATCAAAAAAATTAGCCAGGTGTGGTGGTGTGTGCCTATAGTCCCAGCTGCTCAGGAAATTGAGGCAGAATTTTCACCTGAGTGCAAGAGTTCAAGGCTGCAGTTAGCTGTGATCATGCCACTTCCCTCCAGTCTAGGTGACAGGGTGAGACCCTGACTCAAAAAAACAAAAGAGGGCAACCTCTTCGGTCCCCTTCCATTGTTTACACATACTTGATTAAGGTAAAAAGGAGTTTGTTAATTAGTTATTTTGTCAACATTTAAACTAAGATAAAATAAAACTCCAGGCTGAGGGAAAATCTCAAAAAAACTGTCTAGTTCTATTTCTTCTTTCGTTAGAAATTTTAATTAAAATATAAACACAATGATACAGATTTTTATCCAGTTAGCTTGGCCTCCAAGTATATCAGTTCAATGGGTCTGCAAACCTGACCCCAAATAGTGTTGGCTCTAATGGGCTGGCAAGTTAAGCCCTGCAGTGTGCTGATTCAGTGGACTGGCAAGCCAGCCGCCAGAAGTGTCTCTGCTTCAGTCTTGCCTTCTGCCGGCAGCTCTCCCAGTTCAGCTGACCCTGTCTGCTGGCAAGCCAGCCTCCAGAGTGCACAGTAATTCTGCTCCCCAATCGTCCGCAGCTCTTAGGGTCTAGGTTCTTGTTTCACATTCAGGAGAGGTGAGGAATTTAAATGTCCAGAAGGTGGGAAAGCAGGATTAATTGAGAGGACAGAAAAGCTCCCAGAGCAGGAGGGTCCTGAGAGAGTTGCCCTAGTTCTATTTTTAATCTTCCTTTTTTTCATTGTATTTAGTTAGCACTTGAAAAAATAAATAACATGCATCTCTAATAGCATATGTATTGCTTATGTGCTTCTGAAAGTAACCAACTGTAAAATGAAAACAAATTCTGATTTCTATCTACTCTGATTTATGTCTTATATGCTTTAAATTTTTTTTCTAGCCGGGTTCTGAGGCTCAGCCTGTAATCCCGCGCTTTGGGAGGCTGAGGTGAGTGGATTGCCTGAGCCCACGGGTTCGAGACTCACCTGGGCAACTTGGCAAGACCTCATCTCTACAATAAATCAAAAAATTAGCCGAGCGTGATAGCGTGTGCCTGTAGTTCCAGCTACTTGGAAGGCTGAGCAGAAGGATCGCCAGAGCCCAGCAGGTCGAGACTGCGGTGGCTGGGAGCGGCCACTGTACTCCAGTCTGGGCGACAGAGTGAGACTCCAACTGAAAAAAAAAATTTTTTTGTTGTTTTCTTTTCAATACGAATTGGATCCTTATTTATTTATTTATTTATTTTGAGTCAGCGTCTCATTCTGTTGCTTAGACTGGAGACTGCAGTGGCACACTAATGGCCACCGCAACCTCCACCTGCTGGGCTCAGGTGATCCTCCGGCTTTAGCCTTCTAAGTAGCCGAAATTACAGGCATGTGCCACCACACCCAGCTAATTTTCTGATTTATTGTAGGGACGAGGTCTCACTATGTTGCCCAGGCTGGTCTCAAACCCATGGGCGCAGGCAATCCTCTTGCCTCCACCGCCCAAAGTGCTATGATTATAGTCATGAGCCACCGTACCTGGCTGGAATCTTTTAATAAAGGAAAAAAATTATAACTCACAGAGTTGTGAGAGTCACCTGAGAAAATATAAGAAATGGCAGATGTAATGCTGTGCAATTGCATAAAGCATTTAAATTTGGATAAGAAAAACAAAAACGAGTTATTGAATCCAAGTGTTACCAACAAAAAAATACTTGAATTCTAACTTAGTCATGGCATGGTTTTTTAAAGACCATATGTGACCTTTTTTTTAAACAGGGTTTTTCTTTCAGAGTTTAAAAATGAGATTATATAAATGAACTGACTTATAAATGGCTTAGCCAACAGTCACAAGGGTAGAGTACTTCTGTGGGAGAAGAAAGGATGAAGAGCTCCAAAACAGCTTGTGGTTTCTTTGCATTTTTACATGAAATTGTCTCTTAGCATTCTTAAAATGTGGGTATGTTTGGAAAAGGTATTTGTTGTGAATAACTTACTTGTCTGGGACTGAGTATTCAAAACATCTGAATCTGTGTGCTCTCATATTTCCATACTTGATTTTCTTTCTCAGATATGTCACACAACCTCACAGCCTTGGTATCTCATAAAATAAATACATGTTATGAATTTTTTCTTGTTGACAATAAGAGCACATTTGCCCATAAATATATTTGAGAATTTACTAGAATGTTTGCTAATGGTATGAGTACTTTCTAAATAATATTCATGTTTCAGACCAAAGATTTTAGAATCCCAGTAACTGCTGAAATAATCTTAAGGTTCTTTCTTCATTCATATATCACCTTAGAAAACAACCACCAAATATTCAAGAATCCACTGAATGGAATTAAATTCCTGTGTGTTCACTGGCTTTATCCTTCCAGTTCTCATGTGTTAAAAAATAATATATATTTGGGGTATTAGCCTTAAGGCATATAAGCAAAAGGACAGCTTGCTTTGCTTGAACAGATTGAATGAGACCCAGCTTATTAGATTACTTGCTTACCCTCCTTCTGAACAGTCTAGTACTGATAAGGAAAACCATACCTGGCTTTGCAGTGTAAACAACGCTTAAAGCAGAGTACCACATATCAATGGATATTTACTAGGAAAACTTGTTCTTTGGATTACATATGGAAATCTTTTTGTTGTTGTTTTTAATAGATTCCAAATCCTCTATTTGACCTGGCTGGAATAACGTGCGGACACTTTCTAGTACCTTTTTGGACCTTCTTTGGTGCAACCCTGATTGGAAAAGCAATAATTAAGATGCATATTCAGGTAATTAAACCCCCAATTCAGTGCTTAATGTGAATGAACCCGTTACAAGGCAGTGGAATATGTGCTTATTCCTAAGAGAATTGTTAAGTTACAGTTTCTGCTTCTTTTGGTTGGTAGCTTACTTAGGTAATAAAACATAGGATGTCATTTGGAAGTTAGTGAATATCCTTGTTTTCTTTCTTTCCTTCTTCCCTCTCTTCCTTTTATTCTTTCTTCCTTCTTTTCTTTCTTTCTTTTTTTTTTTTTTTTGAGTTGGAGTCTCACTCTGTTGCCCAGACTGGAGTGTAGTGGCCGCTCCCGGCCACCGCAGCCTTGACCGGCCGGGCTCCGGCAATCCTTCCGGGCTCCGGCAATCCTTCTGCCTCAGCCTTCCGAGTAGCTGGAACTACAAGCATGCGCTACCACACCTGGCTAATTTTTTGATTTATTGTAGAGATGAGGTCTCACCAAGTTGCCCGGGTGGGTCTTGAACCCATGGGCTCAGACAATTCATTCACTTCAGCCTCCCAAGGCGCGGGATTACAGGCTGAGCCACCGAGCCCGGCTTCTTTCTTTCTTCCTTCTATTTATTTTATTATTTTTGGCCTTGTGAAACTGTTTATCTAAGACTTTTACCAAACAAAAATAGTATTCCTTTGCAGGAAAATGCATATCATTTTTACATACATAGTCCCAAAAAACATAGTTTCTTTACTAACCAAGAGCTGAGAGAATATTGCCTTTGACTAATTCTTACTTTCTTTCACATACTCTATATAGCACTTCCTCTCATGGCATCAATCTTATTTACCAAAAACCAGCCAGATATTATTAGTGTGGGAGAGAATGCAGAAGAAAAGAGTCCCTGAAGAGGCGAGGTGTGTGCTGTGGTTAGAGAAGTGAGAGTTTACTAGACTTCAGAGATACTCTTTTATATATATATACACATGTATATATAAAAGAGATACTCTTTTATTTATATATATATATTTTAAAACAATTTATTGAATCCAAGTGTTACCAACACTTTATTAAATAAATAAAAATGAGTTATTAGCTGGACTCAGTGGCTCAGCCTGTAATCTCACGCTTTGGGAGGCTGAGGTGAGTGGATTGCCTGAGACCGCGGGTTCGAGACCCACCTGGG